GTTACGAAAGTTCTCGCAACTGCGAAACACGCGGATATACACTAGTAATAATAAAATATCTGACGTCGATTTAATTAAGCGGCCGGACGAGACTAGAGGGCGAGAGCATAGAAGAGCGAGAATGTAGTTTCACCATTAAAAAAAATGCGCTTCGAGGAGACGGAGGGAGAACTCGTTAAGAAGTCGAGAGAAAGAGCCTATCCCTTTCTCTGTCTTTCTCGTTCTCTCACTCTCTCAGCCGCACTCGACGCTGTTCCGGTTAAGATGGAATTATTTGAATAATCCGATCCCCCCTTTGTGTCTCGCGTCTGACGCCGGAAACAAGACGGGAGAGTCTAATACTTTCGCGAGAATCGGCGGCGCTCAAACGCGACCGAAAGAATTCCCAGCTCTCTCTCTCGCCGATCGAGAGAATATACGTTTTGTACTCTCTGTATTCTATAGATTCTCCTGTCATTGTAGAGGCGCGTACACGTGAGATCACGAGCATTCTCTCGCGAACTCGTCGAATCCGAGAGAGTGCTGTCGTCTCTTCGACGAAAACTTATTTCGACATCGTCGGTACGGTGTCGAATTCTTAGTATCGAGGGCAGCATGATATGCATGTGTGCGGGCGAACACTTGAAACTAAATCTATAACTTACAAAGAAGCCGTGATGTACAGATAGATACAGAAAGTCAAACAAAAAAAAATTCCTCCCTTGTTGTTCGCAAAATAGAGAACTTTTTGTTTCACTTAATCTACTTATACACCGCAATTTCCCCGTGAGTTACCGGACACCCTGTATATTCCATTCAAAGCTCATTAACGACGGGAGTTTCGTGCGTTGCGTGCGGAAGCCCCTCCAAAATTTAATTCGACAAGAAGATCCGTCACGATGCTCCCCCGCAAATGTTTCCCCCGGGGCAAACGCATCAATCACGTTCCCGTCGAACTGGAAATTTATAGACACCTGACAATTTTTGTATACTTCAAGTCAGTCCTGCTTCTTCCGTCTATCTTGGCTTTGCAATATTCGTTTCACATGCGTAACCTTCTCCGGGGAAATCAGAGAGGTTATCAAACTTTAAAGGGTATAAAATCAGTCAAGAATTTACGTTGGTCGTGTGGCGATGTATCCTACACGACACAGTCTCGGACAACACGGAGGGAACCGGAGGGGTGGGAAAAAAAAAGAGTGGATGCATATGTGCGCAATGCGCAACGGATGATATCGTAAAATGTCGGGATTTCGCAGACCCGTCGGAGCTGCTCGCATTACTTATGAATGCTGTTAGGCGTTTCGAGCAGATTGCGATTCAGACATTTCGCAATGAATTTATGCACCTCATACATGTATAATCATTCACAAACATGGGCGAGCATACTCGTAATATCGGCGCGAACGTACAGAGTGTCTGACAATTATTCACGCAGCCTTTGTCCGTAGGTGGAACTCATCAAACTGGACACAGAGTACCTCCACCATTTCGCAAACAACCGCGTGAAATTTTGAATTATTAATCGTAGGAGATAATGGCGCACGCAGTATAGTATTTTTTTCCGTATTCGCGATAAGGCATGAAATCTTCTTCAATTAATAACTAAAAAGCTACATGATCATTTGCGGTAGAGAACTCTTTTACTCAGCTTTACCTAATTTAAAATCGCACGACAATGTTCTCATCACAGCCCGTTTATCCCGTAACGCGTGATTATTCACCAGTCTTGTTTAATTGATAATTCAGAATTTTGCGTTGTTGTGTGCGAAATGATAGAGAAATTCTGCGTTCAACTTAACAAGTTCCACTTGCACACAACGAATGCATGAAGAGTGAATGCATAAATTCAGTCAGACACCCTGTACAACTTTACTTCGTAAAGCGCGCGCACGTGCGCGTGCTATTAAAGGCAAATGCGCGATTGTGTGGCGAACTGTTTTAATTAAAATCTACTCTGACGTAAAAGTTACGGGTACGCGCGCACGGCTGTGTTCGGGACGAGCCAATTAAGCAGAAATTATTATTGTGAATCGCACGGGGGAGAAGCACACGACGCCGCGCAGCGACTCATAATTCGAAGTGTGTGCTTCTCTCTACTCGAGAGGTATTCCCACGCAGCTCCCGCCCAAGTTTCCGCGCGGTTAACGCAGTTTGCGAAGTTCCGACGACGCCGCGAGCGCATCCTGACGATTACCGAGGCGGAAGCTTTTCTCGAATTGAAAAAACGCATTTCCTAAAGTTCAAAATCAATTCGAACTCCGCGTTAATTCGGACGAAATTGCATCGGTCGGTGTGTCTCTCCCGTAGGGAGGAAGACTTAGCGGCCTCGAGCGTTCCCTCATCGGGAACTTCTGCAGGCAAATGCGAACTTCAATTCTCTCGCCGTTCGCGCTCTCCCCTGCACGCCGACCTGCCAGCCACTACTTCTGCCTACCTCTGTCCACCTGCCTATCTGTCATTCTGCCTGCGGTCTCGTGATCGCGATGTCAAGTTTCGGTTTTCCACTCTGCGGGTCTAGCGTAGGATAAACTCGGCACACCGACACTATTGATTTTGTCAGGGAGCACCGAAGGGGTGAAAGGGAGAGGAGGGACGGGGGAGTCGGGTGGAGAGAGCGCGTCAGAGAAAGTCGAGGGTAGGTGAGGTCAACCCCCTATTCAGGTGGGTTTTCGCCCGATGGATGAAGCCCCGGGATATATAGCCGGCCTTTTCCGGATTTATTCAGGGTTATCCTTGAACGCCGCCCTGCCGCACTCTTGTAACGGGCCAAAAATCGATGTATACTTGAAGCTAAAAGGATCGATACGTCGCCCGAGTTGTGAGTTGTGTGGCCCCGCGTTGTGTGCTCAATGGACAAAAGTAATTCTCGGCGTTGCGCGAAAGTCGCAGGCGCCGCGCCATCCGCTTCGGCACATCGCGAATTCTTCTTTCTTTCCAGCGCCACCAGCTGTTGAAATATTTACAACACCGCGCTGTTCTATTTCGGCAAAGCGTACGGTTATTAAAGGAAAGTTCGTCAATATCCGGCGAGAAAGAGAGCTTTAATAAAGAGGGCCGCTTCTCGGGACGTCAAGTCCTGAATCCCGCCTGGTATTGGCGTCTCAATATGAAAAGCGCGCGATCAGAGTAGTTCGCTTATGACGAGACGCGCGCGAACAGGTTAAATTGGAATATTATGAAACTTGGATAATTCCCGGCTATCGTTTCGCGCGCGTTTAATCCCGACAGCTTTCGCGCGCCAAGAACGCGACTGCCCTCGAGTAGGGATGTGCGATTTATGAAATTTTGTATATCGCGATGCGACCTTTTTTAAGAATCGCAATGAATGCGATATATCGCATCACAAATATGATTTTAAATCGCGCGCGATTTTTAATCGTAAGGAAACCTGAAGCATAAGTTCGTTCTGTAGCGAAAGTCAAAATTCTCGTTACAGAACGAACTTTGCGGCATGCATGGCTCCTCGCAAGAAAAATAACTTTAAATCATGCTCCATGGGCATTGGGCTTATAATTTTATAAATTTAAATGATAGAATAACTCGTACACCTTCTTTTCAACTTTCAATTGAATTCAATTGCGCGTTTCAATCGGGCTGACAGGACAGCGCCAAAGCTTGCACCGAATGTTTTGACGTAATTTCATTTCTAACTGATGCCCTTCATCGTATCGATCAAGCGAGTCTGATGTGTCATTTGTATTGACAAATACTTCGCTAACGAAACGTACCTGCTTATTTTGTAATGTCGCTTCGCAGCGAGCGGCTTTAGTGTCGCGCGGAACATTTCGACGTGAGCATTTCTGTATAACGATTTCTTACCGCGACGTTGCGCATGAATAAAGATATGCGAGATTTATGCACACAAAAACACGATTTTATGCAAAAATAACTCGCCACTGAATGCCGCGCCGCATGCCTGCTTTTGTGTGCACGCATTTCGCGGTTCAACAGTGAAAAGCTCATTACAAGCGTTCCGCGCATCTCTTTCGTTTTTACATAGCGCAGCTGATGTTATGCATGATGTTAATTTTAATGACGGATTCTCTGATGCGCGAGTCAGAGTCGGATTTTCCTTGAGAGGATGCTGGATACCGCCACGAAGCAACTTCAGTGCAACATTGCACTGTTTTTCTATTTGTTTGCATAAAATTGCAATATTTTTATAAAGTAAAAATATAAATGTCAAGACATGTATAGAAAGACAGCGAATGTTGCATGAAAAACAGCAAAAAATTTTGTAAATACAAATTTTTTTTATTTTGATACAGTATTTGGTGTCTTTCAATGCATTGACACTTGTACTTTCATTCTGTAAAATCTCTTACAATTCTAATGCAACTGAATAGGGAAAAAAACGTATATAATGAAAAATCTACATTGAGAGAAGAAAAATATCTAAAAAGTAAAAAATATATTTATTATTCCCGTAACATATTTACTTATTTAATATTTTTTTCCAATTAAAAGATAAACATTTTCTTAAAACTTTAGCATGAAATTGTTTATTCTAATTGAATAAAAGAATTTAGATTCAAACGAATACGTTTTTAGTAGCCACTGAATAAACATAAAAAAAAATTCTTTTAAGTATCTTTTCTCTCAATGTATACTGTGTGTAGTTTGCATTAGTTGGTACTGCCATTTGCTACCGTCAACTTGCGAAATATTGACTGCCACATGCATGATCCATAATAATTAATAATTAATTGACGAAATCAAGTTTCTCACACATTGCACGAGAAAATCAGTTTGACTCCATCAAGAAGAATCTCTTCGTCACTTTACGCTTTGGCATATACTAAATAATGTACATGTTACGCTTTGGCATATACTAAATTATATCTTGCTTAGTATGACAAAGAGCGAAATGTCATGATCGTCGGGATGAAGATGTTGATGAAGCGAAGCAATCCTAATTAGCACGGACGCCGATGGCTCGAGATAAACAGACAATAGGCACACGCAGATATGTTCAGATCGAGGAGCGAGATTTACGACAGCGGGATATCGAAAGCTGTGATCACGTGTCATGACAAATCTCGTGAATGATACGCGGGCAATCCGCCGACAGAAGCTGCCCGCGTTGGAGCCTATCCAAAATTGACGGTGCGTCCTCGACGAAAATGTAACGCGTGCGTTCGCACCACGAATGCTGCGCGCATATCTCGTATATCATCAAGCAGCCACAGGAGACGCGACCCGACGATCACGAGATAATGTATGTGCACGACGACGCGAGAGCGAATAATTGGCCAGGTGAGCGCGCCCTCGAGGCCGCGTTAAATCCTCCGGCGCGATTAACCGACGTATTTTTGGTGTAATTCAGAACGCAGACGGAAATAACTGAACGCGCGTGGAGAAATAATCTCATTTCGCGCAGTCACATCTCTCGCCGGTTGAAGCCGCGAGACCAGTAAAATTGTCTAATTTTCATCGCGCGATTGTGCGTCTGCATAATTCGCATTACTGCACAGTTACTTACGTAATTTTTTGTGAAACCGCACCGAGTTACACACACGTGGAGTACGCGTGACATTCCGCGACTGCAGCGAAAGCTCGTTCCCACAGGTAGGTTAATATTTCCCAGAGGGAAATCGCGATATCGAGACCCACGCTTGACGGACAGATTAAATTCGCAACGCGCGGAGAGCCCGAGAAGCCCGTGAAATTTTTAGCACGATCGCGAAGGACGAGCAAAAAGCGAGCAGTACTCATGGAGAGCCGAAAAGATTCTGTCGAAGAAACTTTGGACCGTGCTGTGCATCAAAGAAACACAACCGAGACGGAACCGAGTCGTTCTGTCATCGTCGAGCCGAAAATCCCCGAGACTATAAACGCGAGGAAGGAAAAAGGGCGAGTCACGAGTGCTTTCCGAAGGAGTACTACTCGAGAAAACAAAGGAATATCGAAGGAAACGAACGCGTCGGGATCTTACTCTGAGGTAGCCGATGACGCTATCCAGAGGGGAAATAAATCAGCCCGGGAGAGCGAAGGAGACGCGATGGTGGCGCGGCAGGTAACCTCCGCGGATGGTACTTGGCCTCGGCGCGAATCGGACGGGCCAAAGCGGCTGGTTCAAGATCCAAGAAAGATCGGCGCACGCCGTCGGCAGCGCCCGTTCTGCGACATGATCGGCAGGCGAGAACAACGGCGAGAAGAGCTGGGGAAAATGGAGGGAGACCTGCGGCAGCGGCTGGACATGCTGGAATGCTCGATGCCGGCGATGATGGCGTGGAACATCTGCAGGATGACGCAGGGCATGTCCGCCTGCGGGGTCAGGCGCGTCCTGGAGGAGCATTTCAAAACGGCGAGCGAGCTGCCTTCGCGCGGCACCCCGAGCTGTCATTACGACTGCAGGGTGCGAGAGGTCGAAGCCGAGAGGAAGCTGGCGCTGAAGAAGCTGGAGGAGGCGCGGGCGCTCTGGACCGAGAAGATCCAAGCGTTGGGGGAGCGAAAGCGACAGCTAGAAGAGGCGAGGAAGGTTCAAGAGGAGCAGAGGCATGCGATGGAACGGCTGAACGAGGAGATCGAGGCGCTGCGTGAAGCGGCGGAAGAAGAATCGTGCCGACACGGCAAGTGCAGCGACAAGCGATGCGGGCCGAGATGGCTCGCCAAGGTGTTCAGCGTGACGTCCATCGAGTCCGGGGACGTCGAATGCCTGGGGAAGCTGGAGCAATTGGCGGAGGAGGAACTGCTCATCAAGAAGGACATCGCCGAGCTGGAACGCCGCGAGGACGCTTACATGAGGACGCTTCAGCGAGCCGACGAGCTCTGGTCGAAGGCGGAGGACGACGCGGTAAGCGCGGCGAGCGCGCTCCAGGAGCAATTGGACACGAAAACCGCGGCGAACCAGCAGCTAGCGGGTCGCGTGTGCGAGCTGGAAGATGCGCTGGAGCAATATAGGGCGAGGATGGCGGCCTGCAGGAGCGAGCTGGAGAAGTTTCTGAGCATCGAGAAACTCGAGGCCGTGATAGGTCGCGACGACGACGTCGCCGAAGTGACGGACAGGGCGGTGGCGGTGAGGCCGAAGGTGACGCATCGACCGATCGGCCGGCTCGACGACGTAGCTACGGTGAAGGACGATGAGGTGCTGGCGAGGGTCGAGGTTGCGGACGATGAGGTGCTGGCGAGAGTCGAGGTTGCGGACGAGGAGGTGTTGGCGGTAATTGCCGCGACGGACGCCGACGCCACCGCGGCGATTCTCCTCGGAGACGATAAGTACGTGTCGGCGAGACCCGAGTCAACCGATCTCGCCGTTGATCGTCAGGTTGACCTCGTGCCAGTCACGGAGGAGGAGAGCGTTGTACGGCCGGAAGACTTCGACTACGAGCAGCGGAGATTCCAGGAAGTCAAGGAATATTTGGCCCAGTTGGACTCGTTAGAGGAGCTCTACGAGGATGACGGCGAGCCGTGCCCGCCTGATTTCGTGTGCAACGGCGTGGTAGCCTCGCCTACCGGCATGACGGACGAGGAGCTGATCGCGATGGGTATGGAGCCCATAGCCGAAGCAACGGAGGAGGCCCGAAAATTGGCCGCGAACGAGGAGCAGCGAAGAAGGATGGAGGCGGCGAAGATCACGGACGAGATAGAGCGAAGAGCTCGTGTCGACACCGAGAGAAAAGTACCCGTCGCGGACGACGGACCGATAACGACGCCGAAAGTGAGGAGACTCGACCCCGACCAGGACGTCGTGATAAGACGGGACGAGCTCTTGTCGTGGATCGGCAAGATCGATACGATTCGCACCAAGATAGCGGTATATAATTTACACACAACAGAAAAATCGAGGCGAAGAGCGCGACTGTGCAAATACACTCAGAGCACTATGATATCCTAATTAATGCACTAATATATCAATATCGCAAAATCAACATTAATATTTGAATACTACTGTGAGCATAATATTACGAATATTAATATGCGTAAATATTGCATTCACTGTATGATTAATATGTATATATATTAGCACTTGGGGCAAGCAAACCGTATTAATTATCACATGCACTTCCTGCAGAAGTATCCTGAACTCCAAACGGTGAAGAAGGAAGCCGACATCTTGGCCGAACAGATCGGCGCGTATATAGGGGTAAGAAATTGACGTAAGATTGGCAGGTGCTTTCCCGTTATTTCCGTAATATTGTGACTACATGATGTGACGCACGTTGCAAATGGTTTTAAACTCTACCAATCGACAGCGGAAATGAATATGAAAATTAGTAAAAGCTTGAAAACTCTCTCGAATCGGCCGATTATAGTCTTCAAGTGTAAAGATCCTAGTGTAACTATGCGATTATTTTAGGTAAAACCGAAGGAAGTGGTGGCAGACGAAGCGGAGAAGAGACTCGGCGAGGACGAGATCAAATATGTGCGGGAGGTACCAGCAGAGTTGCCTAAAATAGATTCCATTGAAGAGACGCAAGTAAAATTGCCGGATGTAATAACGAAAACAACGGAGATGGATATGGAACGAGCGAAGTTGGAAGACAAATCGGTGGTTCCGGGAGAGGAAGTGAAACCTGAATCGAAAATACCATCGACACCGATCCCGCATTTAATAGAAGCCCCCCCGGTGGAGGTGGATTTAGCAAAAGAGGAAACATCAGCTGAACCTCCCACGGTGGTTTCGTTAGAAACACCTCGAGTCCAAAAGACAGAAGCGGACGATGAAACGGCTAAGCCAGTAAACGGGGAAAAACTAATCGCTGAGAAAGCTGAGCGAGAGGAAAAGGAAATGATATCCAAGCGCGCGGAAAGAACTGAAATAATGACGGAACCTAAAGTAAAAGAGCCATCGACGCCGTTCTTGGAGGAAACACCAGCAGAAAGGGATCTGAAAAAAGAAATAATACAAGTGGGACTTACTGAAGCGATTTCGACAGAACCACCTGGAGTTCAACAGATAGAAGTGGACGACGACATGACGAAGCTTGAAGAAAGACTGAGAGTTGAGAAGGCGAAACGAAAAAAAGAAGAAACGATAGCCGAGCATGCAGAAAGAATTGAAATGCAAATAGAATCTGAAATGGAAGAACCATCGACACCGGCCGCGCGCTTTGAGGATGCACCAACGGAGGCGGATCTAAAAGAGGAAGTAACAGCAGAACCTTTTAGACCAGTGGTACCCTCTAAACCGATAGAACCGCCTCAAATTCAACAGATTGAAGCAGACGATGACGCGACAAAGCCTGTAGACGAAAAACCACTAGTTGTTCAGCAGGTAGAACGGAAAGAAGAAGAAGAAGAAGTAATACCTGAGAGAATTGAATTTGAAATAGAAGATCTGCCGAAGGAAAAAGCGATAGTAAAGGAAGCAGAGGAACCTCGCGTGGAAATCATAGAGATGGAAGCAGCTGCGCCTGTTGAGACGAAGAAAAAGACAAAACCAGCGGAAGAAGCGGAACCGATAGTAGCGGATGCGAAAGAGGTAGAGGAACTCACGGTAGACGAGGTTTCGCCGGGAGTGGACTTGGTGAAGGTGGAGGAGGTCAAACCTAGCGAACTTCCGATCGTAGAAGTAGAAGAAATTGAAGCGATAAAACAGCCCGTGCTCGAAACAGAAGTCACGAAAGCAAGAGACGAAGAGATGGAAAGGGTCATGCCGCCCGTCGCGCCACGAGAAGAGGAAGTGGAAAAATTGCCATCGATAAAGAAAGCGGAGTTACCGGCGGAAGTCCCAATGCTCTCGGAATTGACGGCAAAAGTGAAACGCGAAGAAGCAGTGCTGCTGGAGGGAAAGTTCCATGTCTTCGAAGCCTTCGAAGTGGAGGAAAAAATTTTAATCGTCAAAGCGAAGCCATCCGAAGCCGCGGAGATATCGGCTGCGTCGATCGAACCCCAACCACCCGTTAAGCCGCACTTCGTTCTGGATCGAAGAAGTTCGAAGTTCGAGGAGCGGGAATTGTTGTACGTTATAGCCGAAGCGACGAAGCCATCACCACCCACCAGCACGGTAAACAAATCAGTGACATGTCGCACAGTTAGTAAAGTTATCCGCACTTTTTAGTTTCTTCTCGATAAGCTTCGTGCGTTACGATCCTCCGTTGAGAACGTGGCTTTCAGCTTACACGCACGTAGAGAACTGTTATAATCGCTACACCCCGTATATTTTACCGTTTTTACCTGTACATTTTTATCCGTTGAAAAGAGAATTTATGTGATTCCAAATTAAATAGATATGGCATTAAAAGTTGCTGTTGCCTATCTGTATAGTTCTCACAGCCACATTCCTTATAATAATACATAATATTTTGTTAATATATCCTCACATATGTAATTATCTCAGCCGGAGGAATACTGCTGTCTCTCTATTGTAGTCTACATAAATATTATGGTTGGGAGATTCGTAGGGTTTAATCTATGCCACACATCGCCATACATTGAGAATTCTACTCAAACACATAGGTAGGCAACAAAAAGGACAATATACCATTTCCAGAGTAGGGAAGACCGGGGTTATCTGGCTACTGAGATAAGTTGGCAAAATCGATTATTTCTTCTATTAACAGATTCTACTGTTAACAAAATTGTCTTTTACAGATTTCAGAAACAAGCGAGCAAGGATTTCAAAGCCATCTTTGATATTTAAAAATCTTGCTTGCTCAATTCTGTAACTTGTTAGAAAATACTAGAAATAACCGGTTTTACCAAATTACCCCGATATCCAACTAGCCTCAGTCTCCCCTACTATGGTTACTACACTCATCTTGTATTTATAGGCGAAAAATGATGATATTTTATTGTGGCAATCATGTTTGGGCAAGTGATATCCTTGATGTCTGTGCGATACACACACTCGCTGCGTGTTCCAACTCTATTACTCGCCGAGGCGTCCTTCGTATTAACACGCGCGCGTGACCAACATTCTAAATTCGTTTCCTTGGTTTCCTTCGCTTGCAGCAAGTGTCGCCGGTCGAGAAGCCCGCGGAGGAAGTCGAGATTACTGCGCGAAGTGGTGTCGTTGAAGCGGAGCTAATAACCAAGATGCGGCTCCCAACCGCCGAGGGACGCCATGCGCCGTCTGCGCAAATTATCAGCGAATATTTCAAATCGGCCGAGTTGGAGGCGAACGCTGAGATCGCTGGCGACCGTCCTGAAATAACCGGCCGAAAAATACCTTGGCGCAAACGCCTAAAGGACCAATCGACCGTCACGACCACTAACGCCGGCTTACAGACGGATAAAACGAGCCACGTTAGCCACGACCGAGTTGAAAGAGAACGCGCCAGGCTAACCACGGACGAACTTTTGCGATCCATAAAGATCGCCGCCAGATTAACGCGCGGCGACCCCGAACGCGAGATCCGCACGATCAATTACGGCGTGCGAACCTCCGACGACGACGACGGGACGGCAACGAGGGCGGCCTGCAACTGTTGCTTGTGCGGGAACGCCGCGTCGTCGTCCTCGTCGTCGCCGACAAGACCCAAATCGCAGATTCAATCGAAAACGACGGCGCCTCTGGCTGCCGCGTTTAAGCGTGCGTTCATTCCTCTCAAGGCGGATCACGTGATACCGTACGACAGATTGTGCCCGGACTGCAAGGCGAAGATTCAGGGCAAAATGACGCGCGACCAGTATCGCGTCGAGCAGATCGTCGGGAAGATCTCGCACAATCGCGAGAACCAGACCAGTTCGTTGGCGACGTCGTGCCACGTTGTTCCACGGAGGAGGACGATCGAAAAGAAGGATCAGAGTTGCTCAGCTAAGATACCCAAACGGAAGGGTGAGGTCGCCGAGCAGAAGAAGAAGAAGCGCGATACGCTGACAGCTGCGGAGCAGATGGAGAAGAAGCCGCTGACGCCGAGTTGCATTTGCTTTCAGCTCGAGAAGCCTAGCGCGGGGCCAATGAGGAAAGGAAACTGCCACTGTGCGGATTGAACGCGCGTTGTTATTCCGCTCGACCGATCGAGCACAGTCGTGTAATCGGTGTAGAGTATTCGGAATTCTTGCGTCTTCGGCCCTGTCTCGGTGCTCATTATCGATGGATCACGGCGGGAAAATGGCCGCGAGAGAGAGAGAGAGAAAGAGAGAGAGAGAGAGAGAGAGAGAGAGAGAGAGAGGGAAAGAGTCATAAATAGACTCAGGAAACGGGTTTCGCAGAATTTAATCAGTTCGCGAATGGCAGTTCTTCGTGCTCGGTTTCCGACCGAGATGGCGTGGATAAAATGCTAAGGGGAGGATGAAAGAGAAATGAGAGAGAAGAAATCGTACGCAATTTTCGATAATACGGCCCTTACAATGCTGTACGCGCGAGCAATTCCATTATACGAGCGGCTGCTATCCCCGCGCTCTTAATCCACTCGTTGCAGCGAGGCGCATCGCAACGATAAAACCACACATATACAGGAGGTGCATTACATATTATTACATAAAATAAAGAGCAAGCCAACGCCTGTACACGCGTTTAACCGTAGACATGCTTGTTGTTTGGATATTTAAATGCGAATATTTAAATGTTCAACATAGGATGTACGTACGTGTACGTATTCAATATATGAATATGTATTTATGTTAAACGTTTGAATATTCGTATTTAAAGAGTCAGACAATAAGAATGTCCAGAATTAGGTACGCTCCACACGTTGCAACGAGGCGCATCGCAACGATAAAACCACACATATACAGAGAGTGGTACATCATTTATTACATAAAGTAAAAAGTAGACTAACGTCTCTCTCTGTATATGCGTATCTAATCGTAGACATGCTTGTCATTTGAATCTTTAAATGCGAATATTGAAATTTCCGACACAAAATTCAATATATGTGTATACATTTTTCAGTTAATAAAATTTTAAATATTCATATTTAAACACTGAAACAATAAAAATATCCAGATACGTGATGTCCAGAGTTAGATACGTGTCCAAGCATTAATATGTTCACCTTATATGCTGCAACGTATCGAGTGAAATTACTCCAAATGAGCAATCAGCTCGCAGGTAATATCTCGATTCACGCGTGAGGCTAAAACGGATATTTGCATGCAAATCAACGATCGCTTCATCGAATTAATAAATACTTTTTCCTAATTGTCTGTTATATACAATAGGCAACCTATTGAATTATACGATCTGTTATAGCCATCGTTATCATTATTACCACACAACGTGATACTCAATAGATAGATTTCACGATAAAATAAAATAAAATAAAAAGCATTGGCAGACACTGTCAATGCTTCCTCCTTGCCGTGCCTCTTTGTTCTTTTTTCTCTCGACAGCTTTCGTCGACGACACAAGTCAAACGGCAGGCGAGTTCGAAGAACGGCAAACTTCCCTTGAACTTTCGGGGAACATCTTACGAACTTGGCGCACATCATGCGTATCGGTACGACTACTTTTCGATATTCGCACACGTCACGAACCTATCGAGCGCTCCGTGCTTACTCATCCCGTCAAGTCGAAACCAAATCGAAAGCACTCACCGTACGTTCGCCAGGGTGTGTCGGCGGGAGCGCAGGTTGTGGTACCCACGTAGCTCGCCGATGCTGCCCTGCTCGGCCTGCATCCTGGCCTGCGCCGTCGCGGCGGCACTAGCGATCACGTGATGCTGATGCCCACCAGGAGCACCGGCCGTCGTGACGCTCCTGCGCGAACGCCAGCCCGTCCTGCTGCCGCCGCCGCCGCTGCTCGGCGTCGGCGATTTCTTCTGGTAGGGTCTGCAAAAGGAGGTTGCGCGAACCACAAAGCGATTTACCGTGCCGTTCTTCCAAGAGAAAGAGGCGTCGAGGACCGATTAGACGTCTGACAATCTGTTGCTGCGCTGAAGAACGATTCGCGGCGCTCGAGAACGGGAAGTGCAAGCCCGAGGAGATCGCTTCCGAGTTCGATGCCGCTGATCTTAAGGGATATGTAGAACAAATGAAAAGGAAGAAGAAAAGGAGGAGGTGCTTCAGGAAACTATTGGAAAAATATATGAAGTAAAACAGCCAGTAAGAAAGATAGGTTGGGGAGAAGTCGTCGCTGGACGCGATAATATAAATTTAATAGGAAGACAAAATTGTTCGACAGTACGTGTCGAATTTTATTTTCAGCACGGAAGAGACAGTATGGTTGGCCCACACGTAAATCTGTCTGTGCCAACCAGATTCAACAGTAAAATACGGAACGACTAATTGCGTGGTTGCTGCAACCACAGAGCACTTGCTGAGTTATTGGCGTTGCAGCAGCAACGATATCTGGTTGCTCCACCAACCAGAATATATTCATGGCAAATGTCACTCTAACCAATTTCTGGTTGTCAAAACCAGATAACGTGTAGCTATTTGATACAGTTGATGTACCGAACTAACTGACAAAGGACACTCACGAAATGTTATGTCTACTTTTAAAAAATGTATATATTTTTGACAAGCACTCACCCCGAGACAAGTTCAACAATATATATAACAATAAATATTTTTCAAAAAATATATACATCTTTGAAAAGTAGACGTAACATTTCGTAAGTATCCCTTGTGAGTCATATTAACCATATACATTACCATCACACAAAATTAACAAGAGTGATGCAACTATACCTCTCACAACTAAATATCTTTCTTTTCCGCGAGACTCTCAACTAAACACTGTTGGCCCGCCATTACATTTAAATTATCACGCTCAGCATCCAACGACGGCTCTTATTAAGCCTATCTCTCTCGCTGGTTCTCCGAGAAGTGAATTTACAGACGACACGCGTTGTCATCGCCGGTAAATTTGTCCGCGGACTCGGTTTAGAGAGATCAATTGTTTCAAGTTACCTACTCAAGTAGCTTCAAGTAAATCTATCCAAAACGTACACTCCGATTTCTTTCTAATTTGGCACAAATATAAAAGTACAAAAAATATTTAGGTTTCTTTTTCATTTTAACCCACTTTGAGTTTCACGGGCAGTTTTAATGTTTTCACTCCTATCATCAACAAGTACAACAAAAATGCATAAGAAATAAAATTGAATACAAGATATAGTTATATAATTTTAACAAAATCAACATAGCTGAGACACGAACCATTCTAAATTTCTTTAGCCGAAATTTCAACCGAAATATTTCAAATCTGTGCTAATTAGTAAAAAATGGTTCGAATCTCGGCCAAACCGAAAAATCTGGCAGTTTTAATTAAAATTTTAACAAATTCAGCATAGCTGAGACACGAACCATTCTAAATTTCTTTAGCCGAGATTCCAATCGAAATATTACAAATCTGTGCTAAATTAGTCAAAAATGGTTCGAATCTCGGCCAAACCGAAAAATCTGGCAGTTTTAATTAAAATTTTAACAAATTCAGCATAGCTGAGACACGAACCATTCTAAATTTCTTTAGCCGAGATTCCAATCGAAATATTACAAATCTGTGCTAAATTAGTCAAAAATGGTTCGAATCTCGACCAAACGGAGAAATGAGAAATTTGTATAAATAATTTTTTTTCCAACTTTTTACATGTCTTGTGAAAACATTTTATTATTTATACAAATAATTTTACACATTTGACTTCATATTTATAATCAGCAAACCAAAAACGCCTATATCTTGTATTCAATTTTATTTCTTATGCACTTTTGTTACACTTGTTGATAATAAGAGTGAGAACATTAAAAAGCTACAAACATACCTACAAATATACATATAACAAAATGTATATGTAAAAAGTTGTAAAAAAAATAACAAAATGTGTATGTAAAAAGTTGAAAAAAAAATTATTCATACAAATAATTTCTCGGTTTAACCGAGATTCGAACTATTTTTGACTAATTTAGCACAGATTTCAAAAATTTCGGTTGAAATCTCGGCTAAAAGAATTTAGAATAGTTCGTGTCTCAGCTATGCCGATTTTGTTAAAATTATTTAACTATATCTTGTATTCTCGATTTTATTTCTTATACATTTTTGTTATACTTGTTGATGATAGGAGTGCGAATATTAAAAAGCTATAAACTGCCCGTGAAAATCAAAGTGAGCCAAAATGAAAAAATATGATCTAAATATTTTTTCTACTTCTATATTTGCGCCAAATTAGAAAGAAAATAGAGTGTATCTTTTAGGTAGGTTTTTTTGTAAGAAGCTCGGTTGGATCGCTGTCGTGTCGAGCCCTTCGATTTCAGGCAGATATGTGAAGCCCACTCGCGATACATTAATTAAATAATTAATTACAATAATGTATGCAGGGATTAAAGGATTTTAGCGAGTAACTACGAGCGAATAAAAGATTCACGAGCCATTCTCATAATATATGAATTTGTTATGCGCGCCGTATTACAGAATTAATGCAGTGACGGTTAAGGCTCGACCTTTCCCGAAGCGTCTCCGGACGATTTCTGAATTAATTACAACGATTAACCCACTCGAGTCATCGTATCGGGCTCGACCGTGCACCTAAGAACCAGGCTGGATCGATAGGGCCTGTTATAAATCACTGATTAAGCATTATCTATTCCATTTATCTCGCAATAATGCAACACTGAACAGAATCGTAGAACACCGACGCTTTTCATCTGATATCTCGATGATTATTTCGGCCATCGCGTGTCGGATGCGGTGTCGTTATGATATGCGAGCTTGCCCCGAAATATTTGCGCGATCGCACGCGCGGCCCACCCATGGCTCCCAAGCGTGAACGAGAATAATTCGATTCAAAAATAGCGTAGCGCGGAAATGCTCGTACAATGCAGGCACGAAAGAAACACGAGCTACCGACAGAAATAAGGGCGGCCTATGGATATTGGCGAATCGCCCGCGACGAATGGGCGCACGTGTGTAGTGAATATGAAGTACGCAGCGATCTTTCGATGCACGAGCTCTGCCGTAAATCAGACGCGAGGTAAGCGGATAGAAGAGATTTGGCGTGGAGAGCTCTTCGACGGATTAATGTTACCACGCGGTCGAAATCGCACGGACTCGGGCGGAGTCCACGACGACGTGGAAATATCGTTGCAGAAGCGCGACGATTGCACGCGTGCAAAAATACACAAAGAAAGAAGCATATTTCGCGGGAATATTTCACAAAATTATCCAAACTCGAGTTATATAACAGAGAACATTTCAATCAAAACATATAAATTTAATAGAGACATAATAAAAATCTTAATTTCACGGAAGTATTTTATAAAAAAATGTCCAAACTCATATGTAAAAAAAAATATTTCAATCAAAACATATAAATTTAATTGAGACGTAATATAAAATTCTAACTTTACGAGAATATTTGTTAAAAAGCTATCCCAACTCGTATACAACAAAAACATTTCAAAACAAACAGACACAATAAAAATCATAAATTCACGGGAATATTTGATAAAAACTCGTATATAACTTAAAAACCATTCTAATAAAAACATATAAATTTAATAAAAACACAATAAAAATCCTAATGTTATGGAAATATTTGCTGAAAAGCTATCCAAACTCGTATGTGATAAAAAAAAATTTCGATCAAGAGAAATTTAATTGAAACATAATAAAAATCCTAATTTCAGACGGGAATATATTTGGTCGGTGTTAAGCTCTTACTGTGGCACTTACTGTCACGTATTGCGTAATCACAATGCGGGCGACGCATTGTTACGCAGTCGGAGAAACGCGTCGCGCTCGTTAACAATGAATGCGTCAACGCGAATAATTAATCCGGGGGAAATCATGCATCAATAATTCTCACCGTTTCTATTTATGCTTAGCTGCGAATTGTAATTACAAATCTGCTTTGTTAATCCACGCGGAATGTTCATCGGGCTAAGCGCCGCGGTTATATTTAGTTTGCCGATCCCCCATCAGCACCCATAACGTAGTTCTGCCGTTCGCATGCGCGTCCGCGCGCAAGAGTGCGCACGATGTATCAAATCCGGTGACTTATCATTCACGAGCCACCTCTACGATACATCCTCCTGACGCATCCGCTGATTTTAACGTTCGAAGTCGAGCGTATGCGCCGCATTCGTCAAAATAACGCGCGCGCGAGCACTTCCGCTGACGTGAAGTCCGCTGCTGCGAGCGATCAGCAATATATCTCGCGACGGAAATTTAAGACGAAATTTTATTTGCATTTTATGTGCCGCGCAGGAGACATATCAAAAGTTCTCACGAGGAACCCACTAATGTGCACATTCATAAACGCAATTCTGATTCTCCGCGAGTTCTCTCTCACGGACGGAATTTCGTACGCCGAACCCGTCGCGAGTTACAGATCCGAGTAAAGCGGCGCTTAAGCTGCGAACAAGCCGTTGCAAAACGGCGCGCACGCTTGCACGATCCTCTCGTTATCGCGGGCCGCGATTTTAGCAGTGCGCGAACATCAACAGGTTGCTTCGCGACGCGGAATAAGTCGACGATTCGATACCGCGGCGGTCGATGCGTTCCCGAGGCACGTGCACGAGTCAGCTGATTTATCAGGTCGGATTGCCGCGTTAACGGAAAGCCAATCTCGCGAGCGCGGATTTGCAGAGAGAAATTGAGAAAGGGAAAAGAGAGAGAGAGAGAGAGAGAGAGAGAGAGAGAGAGAGAGAGAAGGGAGAGAAAGAAAAAGGAAAGGAAAGAAATTGAAATGCAGAAAGGAAAAAAATAAGATGGGAAAAAATGAGAGTGGAGGAGAGAGAGACTCGGTATTCGCAGATTCAGTATCTAATATAATACCGAAATTTCCCGCTGACTGTATCGAGTTACGTAGCGAATACCATGTATGCAGGCG